GAATACCAAGGCAGGCTGTTTTGATATCAGTCTTATGATATATATATATATATATATATCGATTAAGTGCTTAGCTATAGACGAAGGTGGTAGTCCACCATCTGGGTCTACCGATTTTTCACAGTTCATTTGATCTTCTAACCATTTGGGAATACGCTTTCCTCTCTCTGTTTCACTTAACTCGGCATCATCATTTCAAATACTGGCGCCATAGATGAGGATTTTAAGCCCACTTAAGATTGGATCTGGGGAAAACAAGGTATGTGTTTATTACCCTGCAGTCATCAAAGTGGAAATCTTCCGAACACAGCACAAGAAACAAGATTTGAGTCTGTAGCACAAATGTCTATTATAGTACTGAGCACTTGGAGCGCGCATCATCAAAATAATTTTCAACACGAACATCTGCAAAAAACTGTAGTTTTTGTAATCCAAGTAAACGTCTTTTAAGTTAGATGAGTCATGTCATAAGTTATATGAGGTTCATAGTTGAACAGCATGCTTTTCTGTCGACGGCTTTCTTGCATATAAAGTGACAGTTCACACTGGTGTTGCACTGCTTAGTTTAATGACCGCACTCCCCTGACAGACTTCAGCCAGCATTCAGGGCCAGACAACTGCACGAATTACCATCGGTTCAGTGAGATGGTTTCGGTTCTTATTGATTCAGAGTTGAATTTCAAAGAGGCACTAGATTTACTTAAAGCTGCAGATGAACACAGTCGATAATTACCAAGAGGTACCGCATCTAAGTCAGATAGAACTTCCGGACGACTGACTCCTAATATCTAACGCAAAGGAAAATATTCAGCAGAATATAATTCAACGGCTATAATGCTGGAGTAAAAATAGTCTGACAGTTATGTGCTGTCCACCAAATTTCATTACTTCTCATTCCTAAAGGAATTCTGTAACACGCTAAATGCCATTCATCTATCTGTACTGCGAACTGGCTTTAGCAAGCGTTAAAGTCCCAGGTTTTCCAATGATTCTCTAAATGATGTCAGCTCATGATGAGATCCTCCAGCCAATCAAACAAAATGCCTAGAAAACCAATAATTGAAAGTGGTAAATACTCTATAGGTACTTCACCACTAGAATATTGGCTTGAAGAATACTGCTATTATCATCACAAAACGAAAGCAGTTACTTTCAGCTGAGTTAGAATTTATAGGCCATTGGTGCCCATTGTCCGAGTTATAAAAGTTAACTTTGCAGCAGAGATACGGTCATTATGGCGACAGTGCTAATGAATCCCATATAAGAACGATGCAGAAGTGAATGGTTCTCTCCCACGACGTAATCTGCTTCTGTTACAAAAAAATCTATTTATGACTTCGACGTGGCTTTATTCACGAATCCACAGTTGTCACTGAAGAAGCTCTGAAAACTGTGGAGCACTACTAGTGTGGTGAGAGCTGTCTACTAGCCAAATTGGTAGACAGTAATTTACGTCAATATTTACGTTCCCAAGATTTGTCGTGAGAAAATGTGAACACAGATTGATTCAAAACCGACCACAGCAGACTTTGCGTAGGCGGATGCAGTTAACATATAGAGGATTTGACATTCAAGAAACAGTCACAAAGAGATGAAAGATTAACTTTACGTGAGAAACAACCAATCGGAAGACTGTGTTTGTTTGCTTAAATATCCATAGGAATGTACATGAAATATATAAATATGCGTTGATTTCCTTAATAAATGATCTGTTGCCTGACCCTTGTCTTCTGTTGTTACACTAGGAAGCTGTTTCACCTCGTCAGTAGTGTATCCACAGGTGATTGAGAAGAGGAGAGGGCTTCAGATGTTACTTATTGACCGCTCGCATTTACATTCAATCAGTAATAAGCCACAGCTACTGCTGTATGAGGCTGACGATACTGCCTGACAGCGCAAACCTCAAGTGATGGAGTGGGATTCGGAACTGTGACCCAAAGGTTGATAATAGTGAAATTCTATGGTCATTTCATTTAAAAACTTTCACAGCTCAAATTGAAATTTACGACTGGAATGTGAGGGAGGCCGGGAGAAGAAGACGACGACGCTATATGCACTATACCCTGACGGGAATATCCACGACAATAATGTGGGGTGGGGGGAGGATTATGGCTGAGATGTTTCAGCCTAAAAAGACCTATCTCACAAAGAGTATTTTGATTCTCATTAGAATGACGTACTTCATATTTCGCCTACTACATAGCAAGCTTGATCGAATGTTCAAGAGTGAAGGTTAGCTTATAGAAAAATGTATAACACGTTGGGTAATTCCATGCATATAAACACGCACACACAGACTGACAAACAAAATTATATATATATATATATATATATATATATATATATATATCCGTAAAAGAGAAAGTATTCAGCGTTAATAAAAAGCGAATTTCTTATCAGCCTTTCACATTTCCGGTATTTAGCTGACAGATAGATTAGCCATGTGAGTTTTTCTTTTAGCAAATAGCTTCATTATACTACTCTTCTTTATGTACAGTTATACTTTATTCCGTAAAAGATTTTTATGATAATCACACTATCACAAGTGAGCGGGTTGAGTAAAGTTCTTATAAACATGAAATGGTTAATTTAATTATTTCACACCTAAATAATCGATAATTCATTCACTCACTAATTCATTCAGTCAACAACAACAACAACAAAAACAAAACAAGAGGATATTAGAGCGCTAACTAGCGAAATATGTATCGCATACTGTCCTTCATATTTGCTAGTGAAATTTATATATATATATATAACACAATTATTAAAAGTGAAGTACCACAGAGATCTATCTGTAAACGTCATTCAGCAGCCAGTATGATCATGCTGTATTATTATTATTGTTTCCTTTAATTCCTAGAGGATCATAGGGCTTCAGCCGTGTGTCTCCATTGCCTTCGGTTCTCTGCTAGAGTCTTCACCTGGCTCCAAGTCTGCCCACACGTTTTCATCTCCTCTTCACATGACTTCCTCCAAGTCACCCTCACCCTTGCACTGACGACCAATTCGCCGCTTCCCTTTCGGGTTCCACTCGAGCAATGGCTTGTCTAGTGATGTCACTTGATGGTTTCCTCAGAGTATGGCCTGCCAATCCACCTCCATTTCTTCCTACCTATTTGTTGCACAATCGGTTCCTGGTTGGTTCGCTCCCAGAGATCCCTACTGCTGATGTTTTCTGGACGGCCATCTGATCTTGAGTAGTACTGAGCGAAGACAACTGTTAATGAAGGTGTGTAGTTTGTTTGAGATGCTCTTTATGACGCGCTGGCCAAGTCTCTGATCCGTATAGTAGCACTGACTGACTTCACATTGGAGTTGGGAATCCGGATCTCATTTCTGACGCTGAGTGTTGTTGACGTCCACACAGACTTGAGAGTAGTGAAAGCTTGTCTTGCTTTTCCGATTCTTGCTTTGATATCCTCGTCAGTTCCACCTGTAGTTGAAACGATGCTTCTCAGGTAGGTAAAAGAGGTTGTTTCTTCCAGGTTCCTCCCATTTATGCTGATTGTTGTCTGTTGTTGTTGCTGTGGCTGTTGGTGTTGGCCAGGAATCTTCATCACCTCTGTTTTATCTATGTTCACCTGAAGTCCTATCTTTGATGCCTCTTCTGCCGACTTGTTGCTTTTCATTTACATATCTTCCAGTTTGTGGAAAATCAGACATATATCATGGGCGAAGTCTAGATCCTCCAAGTTCTTTGTGTGAGTCCATTTTATGCCTGTTTCCTCATTGCCCGCTGTTTGTCGCATTATCCAGTCTACTGCAATCAGGAAAATCATTGGCGATAGTAGGCGGCGTTGTCTTACTTCCGTCTTTACTTCGAAAGATTCCGTAAGTTTCCCATTGTGGATTACTTGGCATGCAGCATTGTCGTACAGCTGTTGGATGAGATGTATAATGTCGGTGGCACCCCATAGTAGCGAAGTAGCTGCCAAAGCACCTCTCGATCCACGCTGTCGAAGGCCTTCCAAAGTCGATGAAGTTGAGATAGAGAGGTGACTGCTATTCCAAGCTTTGTTCAATGAATGATCATGCTGCATGCCAGTTAATTCACAACTGAAAGTTCATCGAAGACTTCTAAGTGAAGGCAGGACTAAGTCAAGACTGCCTACAATCACCGACGATTTTCATGATTAAGATAGACAGGGTCATGTGACAGACTGTAGAGATTTAGAAGATGTGGATATCAGAAGAGACTTAAGCTTTGATGTTACCTAAGCCAGAAGAAATACAACGGAAAACCAAAAAGTTGGCAGAAGAGACTAAACTTCTGAAGGACATGGAGAAGAAATAGGCGATGAAGATTCCCTGGTAAGTCAAGAAACCCAAAGAAAAAGTCATCTCTTTCCCTTGTCTTGTCAGTATCCCTTCAAATAAATGCGGCACAGATGAGCATATCAAGGGCAATCAGGTTCGGATCAAAGAAGCAGAACAGGTGTTCATTAGTCGGAAATCCATGTGGAGATAAACAGCACTCGGAACAAGGAACAGAACTAGTGTCACATCAGTGCTACTATATAGTAGTGAGACTTGATGCACGCGTTCCAAACAGACTGCAAACACTCATCAACAACCAACACCCTTCTCTACTTCGATACTGAGGACTAGATGGCCAGCTAGAATGGACGAGCAACAGACGATGACAACCGGGCAACAACTTATTTCTCAACAAACAAATTACGCAGAAGGAAAGTGGAGATGGACTGTAACATGGGCTGAGAAGTCATTCAAGTGACTAACATCACACGTGAGGTGGTCAAGTGGAGCTCGAAAGGTAAGCAATAGGTTGAGTGTGGTTCAAGAGTGACATACAAGAAATTGTGTGAAAAGGAAAAGAAAACCTATGGGCAGCCAGCTGAAAATGAATGCAGAGAACTGAGTGGAATGAAGACATGCCTTTGTAGACTTATGGGTGAATAATACTAATAGTTATAATAATAATAATAATATAATAATAATAATAACTGAAATTGAAACAAAAAAGTTATCATTATCACCTGGCTAAATGTTCATCCTGTTTTAGTTCTATGTCGTGAATTTCTTTTTCCAGTGTTTCAATCCGTGTACGCACTTGTTCCAGCTCTTCGTTAGTATCCATTAGAACTGTATCAAAGCGTTCAGCTTCATCTTTGTATATCTCCAAAAATCTGTGCAACGTCTCCACATTTCTTGGATCATATGGATTAGTGATCTGATTACCAAATAAATATTAAAAATTTGGTTTTTTTAAAAGTAAAAATGAAAACGATAATAGAAAGCAATCCAGGTAAATTCAATTCCTAATGTGGTATATATAACCAGTATTTATATCAGATATATGCCTTAAAAATGATTATTAACACTTAGTCAATATTCAAAATGTGTTCAGAGCACTAACTATTTTATCCACAATTTAGTAACTTCCATCAACCAGATAGTTTATGCATAAGACGAAAGAGTAGCACATGAATGGCTTCAAATACACATGGGGCGTTACCTGTTTTCGTGCATTTTCCGGGCTATATAATCTTACAGATCTGAATTGATCAACTTCTGTTGGTACATGGACATTCATCCCCTGCTGCCTGCCTCAATATTACACTGAATTACATTATTCTTTGTTATATATATATAGCGTCGGTGGCATAGCGGTTAGGACGCTCGCCAACCATGCATATGGTCCGGAGTTCGATCCCCGGCCGACGCACTCCTTTACCTCGCTAATCCAGAAATAATGCTGGTAAAGAGGAAAGGTTGGGCATGAGACTGGCAACCCCATCCTGTAAAATAAAATAAACACTGCTACAGAAACTTCAAGCCACTAGCTTGAAGCCCTATGTTCCACTGGGGAACGTGAAGGAAAAATACATATATTCATCTGCCATTAATAAATGTACACTGGTCACAAAACAACACATATTTCATGAACTTTTATGTACGCACCACTGAGATACACAGTTCAATACTAAGTGCTAAGAAAATTAGTAGTTACGATTCTGAACAATAATTCCAAGAATCTCCAGGTACTCACTTGGTGTTCTAAATGTTATCTAGTAAGTACACTATTCAGTGATCTATTTTCTCAAATACTGTCTTTTTGCTTGTGTAGTCTGCAACTTAGTCCCTGTAGATATGAGCACTGATCAGTTTACAAACTACCGAACAATGAATACTTAAAATGAGGTGTAAATTATCGATTTCATTATTAGCATATTGATTATTCTTCTCTCAACGATATCACGGGTGGTTAAGTGTCCCTTGGAATCAAGGTTCATGTAAAATTACTTTTTTTGGTTTAAATGATGTTTCGTTCATCTGTGCGTCGGTGGCACAGTGGTTAGGACTCTCGCCGACCATGCACATGGTCCGGGGTTCGATCCCCTGCCGACGCACACCCGATCGATATCTATGGTCGGCCTGTGAAATTTGGCCTACCGATATCCATGCTGAAAATTCCATACTTGTACTGAAAATACGGTGTGGCATCAAGCTGTAATCAAAATAAATAAAATAATAATAATTCACATTCAAAGGAAGTGATACCTTCGTGATCTACACTACTTAATGCTTATATAGGTGGTATGTAAGGTGATATCTTCATCAGACAACAAACCAAAAGACAAGTGACAGGAGATGCTTCTAATAAGAGGCACGGGAAAGACGGATCGTAGCAAGAACGGTCGAGTCTAGTCGAAACACCTGTTAATCAGAAGTGTAGGAATTCAACAGAAACTTGGCACTGGTTGGAAGCAAAAACTGTTTGAAACTGCAGATTAGGTGAATTATGAAAGATGTCGGTATACTTCTGGCAGTGAACCAGAGGGATTAGTACACGGCTATCGAGACAGTGTGTACTGTTAGAGAAGTGAATAAAAACAGAGTAACATCAGTAAGACAAGTCGAAAGCGCAACTACAGAAGACCGTCTTAAATCGTTTCACCCGTTAAGTTTAGCTTTTCGAGTAAACTGTTCTAGTGGAAACTTAGCTTTTGATTAATTCTCTTTCTAAATTAGTTAATAAAAAGCAGTTTTCAAGTACCGAAAGAATGAAATACCCTTTCAATCAAAGTATTCTGAAAGTAGTCCATCATGATGTGTGAGCGAATGAGTGATACAAAATGCCAATTAACGTACCACAATCATGCATTTTCATAAGTTAAGAGACTAAACAAAAAGCACACCGAATATACACTTAACTATTTAGTCAGTCAGAGATTGATTACGTAAGTGTTTGTGTATGGTGTGCGTGTGCCTGTGTTTGTTTCAATCTTTCTGTTCACAAGTACCGAAGTTTGTGAATTCCTCGTGAGAATTAAGTTTCTCTTCTCATATATATATTGGAAACACAACTTAGCAGAAAAGGAACATACAAACAACCCCCAAACACTCGATTGAAAACGACAGGAAAAAAAAGAGAAGAAAGATAATATTCTCAACAACAACAACAAAAAGTTATCTGAAAAAAAAGCAATCAAAAACAAAGTTTTGTTTTACTGTGAGAAAACAGTCAATAGAAATTTCGATGCTGTTATTTATTATTACAGAGAAGGCAAGGGAGGGGTATGCTGTGAAGTATTTATGTGAATGTGTTTGTGTGTGTGTGTGTGTGCCTGATTTGTATTAGCAAACTACACCAACCATATAAAATTATGAAGTAAACGACAATACCTCACTTTGTGAAAGGCAGTTTCGATTTTTTTTTAAATATGAACATGCATGCCTGCATGCACACCAACCATTACACACAGTTGTAATGAGAAAATATTTTCACTTCAACGCGAACCATATCTCAGGTAGGCCTTGATACGGCTAAAAATCTGAAAATAGGATTTAGTTTCCAATACAAAATTAAGAACATTAGAGAGATTTGAACAGATAGCCTCCAAACTAGTCGTCTTGTAATCCATCCATTGGACTAAAAAGCTCAATAAATACCATCCCACCTCCAGCTATTGACTGCTCTGTCAAAAATGCAATGATGAGTGAATCAAACTGCACATGAAATGAGTAAAATAAAACAACTCTTACTTGAGGGCCAGACTAAGTCTTGAGTATACGTTGGAAGGTGTAGAGCACAGAGCGCACAGTACTGCGATGCTTGTATACAAACACACCTCTCTGAGTTGGATTTTACTATGACTTACAATTTCTGTTAATTCCAATTATTTTTCCCATGATAAATTCCAGAATGTAACGTGATGATAAGTGTCGACAAGAAATAACCACAGCCTCCTACCTACAGACTTGTCACACTTCCCCCTAAGTGAATTGCCTCTATTTCATTCCTAATTTGTGTTTGGCATAAGTGCAGACCAAACAGGAACGGATTTATCATCCCTTCTAAAGAGTAGAGTATCCATTGTAGACGTACACTCTGGCCGGGGGTACACACTACATGTGCACAAATCCTTTTTAGTTCCCTAATTGTCGATATGGGCCACAGTAGAGGACTGAAGATTATATGGTTTTGGTTTTCAGGAGGGCAGCAATCACACTACTGACATGGCCAGACACTGAATCCTCTAGTGTAAATACTTTAACTCGGTATCGTATACATCGTATCCTATACTGATTCAAAAACTTGCAGTCACTGATTACTGTGTTGCATGGTAGTGACTAGATTAGTAATGTATTAGACGATGCCTCCACGCCGAAGAAGACAAACACATGTGAAGACCATATGCTTCCTTTCAGAAGTTTCAACGACACCTGTTGCTGTGGAGGCAGGTGTACATTGGCCGTTCGACACGTGTCCTGTCTAAAAGGCTTCGAGAATACTATCCTGCATGGCTGCAAAAGCGTAATAGTGGCTCTATAAGGAGTGCGACGATCGAACACCTTCCTTGTCGACACTATATACCTATGCTATTTAAAACCTTTCGAATCAGCGAACCTGTACTATACTCTTCACCGTAAATCCTATACACTTTTGTAGTACAAAGTTGATGACCGCTTCGATTCTTATGCATTTCTTCCCTTCTCTTATACTATTCAACCGGAGATATACAGGGTTGATGAACTATTCTTTTCATACATTCAAAGTCAGTCTATGCAATCAGTCCACAAATACTGTGAAGGTTAGTATGCCAAGTAGTATGAGCTTCTGTCAATTATGAAATGGCAACATCGGCAGAGTGGATAGGGTTTTGACATAACAGTAACACTACAGGTGGTCACTATATATATATGTATATATATAGGATGTATGTATGATTTAACAACCTACAGGTCACGTGTATCCTAAAGGCTACTTCGCTAAAAGCATGTGCCTTTATCGAAGTGATACTGAGGGAACAATATCCACCCCCTTCCATTCATGCCACTGAACAAATAAGTACACAATTTTCTGACAGTATATTTTAATTAAAGTATTAACAAATGATTAAAAGGCCTGCACACACACACACCAAGACAAACAAACAAAGAAACCGGGAATTCAAAGCATCAACTATCTCTATTTTAACGCCTATCAGCTTCCCAGTTTCAGGATAATATAAATAATGTATTGCTTTCATACTTCAATTTGTTTTTGCTGTATAGCTAGCTAGTGTATATAAAAAACTGAAAGGGAAACGGAATTCCGCTTTCATTGTTTGTTGATGTTAAATAACCCTTGAAATGAGGCACTCCCACTTTAAGGATGCATATATATATATATATATAGATGAGGGTTCATTTGATCTCGTTAAAGGCTAGAGAACATTCATAATAACAAACCAGTTCTCTGGGAAACTGTAAAGAAAAGTCAAACTGAATTTTTCTTTTTCATTTCTTTGAGTTCCAAGTGGAACACACAGGGCTTGCAATGTTGAGCTTTGAAGTTTCAGTAGTAGTGATGATTTTGTCTTCTTTTTGAGAGGTGGGACTGCTAGCTTAGCACTTGACCTTCCCTCTTTTCTGCACCTACTACCCATCGGTGGTTAACTAGGTGAGGTTTGGGAGTGCGCAGACTGGGAAACGAACCCGGACAGCATGCATAACTTTCGAGTATTTCTACCATTGAAACATAGACGCGAAACGATTACAGAAAAAGTCAAACCAATAGTCAAGCATAAATTCTTTAAGACGACTTAATGCATCCAACAAACACGTAGGAGAAAATGGAGACCGTCGAATGATATCGTGCCCACTGCAGGACATAGCTCAAGTGGAATCCCAATGGGGAACGACGAGTGGGTCTTCGGTGCCCGGGTGACATGGAGATCGTGTGGCAAGGAGGAGATGAGAGACATATTGTGGGTACCGTGGACCCAGCTGAAGAGGACAGCAGAAAATAGGAGAAAGTGGAGATGTGTTGCTGAAACCATATGTTCTAGTCAGAACCCAAAGGAACAATAATAATAATAATAATAATAAATAATGCGCAATGTAACCGAATAGACTGAACTTCTAAGTGTTGGTTTAAATCCAAGGTAGACAGTTGAAAGCCTACACGACTTAATAGTCAGCAAAAAAATCTTCAAGAACAACATTCATATTACTCTACATTCGTTAACAATACCAACAGACTAATAGAAACATGTTCAAGTATTGGTTTTATAGGGATTTTTGTTTCATTGCATGGAGGATTTCATCATGAGCTGACATCAGTTAGAGAACCACTGGAAAACCAGCTGGGAGTACTGGACAGATGTTTCGTCCTAGTTTGGAACTCTTCATCAGTAAGCACTCATCGGGGTTCGAACCCAGGACCTTCTGGATACAAGGCGAGCTCGTAGACCATTGAGCCACTGGGACCCAATCCAATGGCCCATGAATTCTAACTTCTACCAATTCACGACATAGCGCGACCATTTCGCAGTTTCTGATGAAGAGTCCGAAACTAGGACAAAACAGTGTTTTCAGTACTCCCAGGTTTTCCAGTGATTCTCTAACTGATTTCAGCTCATGATGAAATCCCCCATGTAATAGAAATATGTCTACTAAATTCATACACTGTTGTATTTTAGTACTGCATAGGTAGACTTTAATTTAAAAAGAATACCAGGTTCTCGAAAGTAACTTTAAAAATTATAATAGCTAGCACATACAAACTGAAAAGTATTAGCAAGTGAAATGCGAATGACTTACATCGGTTGTACTTTTGTGTTCTGCACTCAAAGTTGTCAGCTGTCCACTTTGTGCTGTTTGTGATGGAATATTATTCAACTGGTCTGTCGCAGCTGTATGATTCTGTGCACCTGTTGACGCAGCAGGACCATGATGATTTCCGCTGAACAGTATTTCATCCTCACGACGTGATAGACTGTCTGCAAATGTCTCAAGGACACAGCGTTGTTTTTCCGTTCGGATGATTCGGTTGACTAGATTGTCCGCTCGACGACGACACTGTCTTAGCTCGATCAATAATTCATTTATAACCTGTGACCAGGTGTCTTCCTCTCCTGACAGTGATTTAGCTGAAAAGCTCACATCAAGAATTGTAGCAGCTCCTCGAATTTCCACACTGTTTAAGGATTTGAAAAGGTATAGAATATTGGAAATAAGTTCAAACTGTTTTAACATAGTATAGTAGAGTATTTTTACTAGGGTTTTAGGTAAGTTACCCGAGGTAATAGGATCTCAGGTGTTGAATCAACTAGTTTTTTTCGAATGAAAGGACTACAAAAATACGTCTACTGCACGTTTTCTTTCCAAATAGCAGCTTTTAGGGGAATCAGGAGCTTTTGTCTACTGTATCTACTGTTTATCGTTCATACATTTATTCCCCTTGATGAATTTGAATAAAGCAAGAACAACAGTTTTTGCAGATTAAAAAGATGTTACCATCATTTGTTTCGTTGGCTCCTCATCAGCTGCTTCCTTGCAGCCTAAATAATTAAGTTTATATTCGGAAAAGTTTTAATATACTTGCAAATTTTACATGATGTCAGTTGACACGCAGTTCTGGACTTAGTGAACAGTGCTCAGAAAATTACGCTTATCTAGTTTTCGCACAGGGGGTTCAAGTTTAAACAAAGTAAGTGTACGCATACAATGATAAAGGAGTTACATAATAAAGACGAGAGGTGCGTAAGATGATGACTGACTAATAAATTCGGTAACAATGTACTGAGTTCAATTCAAATCATAGAAACAATAGAAAGGCAAAACTACACTACATAAAGTGGTGGGGGTGAGGTTAAAGCGAAAGAATACGTAATCAAGTAAAAGAGAGAATAAAGAAACCCAGTTACCATGGCAACTGGATATACTGTAAATTTTGAAGTATGTTAAGACTTTTTTGTACATAAACTTAGTAATTTATTTTGGTTGTAAGCAGATGCTGAGAAGCCAGTGGAATAAATGGTGATACAATATTATTCTGCAAAAACTGCTGTTCTTGCTTTATTCAAGTGTATCGTTTGTTTGATAAAACTAAAATATGTGATGACTTTGCATAAAGTGCTACTCAAAAAAGCCGTATGCATATTATTACACTTGGCGATTAGCAATGCCTATTCTGTGGAGGCTAACGTTACTTACTGGTTGCCCAAACCTAGATAGGTGAACCTAGCTCGAAGCCATGAACCACAGAGAAACACTTTCAAATAGAAGATGCACCTAAGCTAACACCAGTTTGTTTTAACAAATGTCATAAAGGACGGGCAGTCTCCTCAGACTGATCTGAAAACATTAAAAGTCTGGAATTTAAAAAGTTCTACTCAACTGTATATGTAGGTTAGGACAAACTAAGGAAAAAATCTCCGTATACTACCCTAACATTTTTCAGTGAAAATGGTGTGTATAGTTTTGGAGGATTACTGAGTTCTACGACAATTTAGCTGGTGCTTTGCAAATCGCTTAGATAATAATCCATTCAGCTCTATGTAAGTAAGCGGATTCTGATTAAGAAGGTGTATTTAAGCCTTTTGGTCAAAATACAGCAATCCACTTCTTCATACACACATCATACATGTCAAAACAATAAATGATCGTCAGTCTAACATTTCCTGAGAATCTGATTTGAGATATTTCAACAGTGAAGTCTGATGTGTTTTAGCCTCTATGTGTGTGTGTGTGTGTGCGTGTATGAATATCCACTTTGTTCATGAGAACACACAGTCGCTGATATTGTCACTATTCAGTTAGACCGTATCATCCAAAGTAAAACTTTTTACTAAACATTTAACTCAATTTTAGATTTTCCCGTCGATTGATTGGACCGCAGTGCTCCGTTTCAGGTTAACATGTCAGCTTCCTGTGCAGATGCTTCGACGACGTCTGGGCATGTAATTAGAAGTTAATTGTTGGATGGTGACTAGCAGTGGAATCCAGGTCACGGATTTCGTCCTATTTAGGACTCGACAGCCGGATGTACCTGCATTCCCAGCATTTTGGTGCAATCAACCGACGGGAAAATCTAAAATAGAATTTAATATTAATATGACCCGTTGCACAAGAGACAGTGTGGCTCTCGTGGCCCAAGTGGTCTAGTGGATAACGCTTTGGAGTTTGAAACTATGAGCACTGGGTTTGAACCTCGGTGGGAACATCATCACTCACTGCGGAATGCAAGTGCATCCAGATGACAGACGAGTCCCAAATAGGACGAGACGCATACCCTGGATTCCACTGCTAGTAGTCACCATCCACCAATTAGTTTTATTAAACAATTTCACCGGTAATTTTCCTACGAAGAGAAAAAGGATCAGCATGATCCATAAGGCTTTTTCCCCACTTCATCAAGTGAATTTATTGATCCATAGTCAAAATGAATCTTATTGGAAAAAAATACTGAATGATCAGTGTTTTTTCCAGAACCATAAAACTGGTCACCGAATCAGAGGCTTATTGTTTTGAAGTACAATAGAATAAGAAATCCTCCACCACGTTTATACACTATTCTGAACACACATGATACTCCAGTCAACAATTGATGCGAACTAGTGGACATTAAGGAAACAAGTGAGGTGGTTAGTTTCATTTTGCCCATTATCATTATTAATATTGTTACTAATTATTAACGTATTTAGTTCATCTATATATATTTTGGAAAAAATATTCAATAAGGAAGAAAGTTGATACATGATGAAGTCTTGTGATAAAAGTACAAATATGCATGTATGCACATATCGGGGGATAAACTTATGCGCAAACACGCAATGCTAAAAGAGACTGATCGACGAAAATAGAATTTATATTGCTGGTAAGGAAAGATGCAAAAAGTACACATGATGCACTTTGGTAGAAATGGGGAGTTTGGAAAGGTGAAGGGAAGGTGGTAATCCAACTCCGTGATCATATAATATCCAGTCAGTTAGATGGTTACAAAAATACACTAACTGAGGTGATTGAAAACATCCATGCTTTAGATGTTTGAAGCCAGTAGATAGGAATCACTATTCAACATAAGTTTTTCCATTATTATTATTATTATTATTATTATTATTATTATTATTATTATTGTAACCTTGTTTTCTTAGTGGAACATAGAGCTTCAACAACACATCTCCACTTTCTCCTTTTCCCTGCCGTCCTCTTCAGCTGGATTCACGATTACCCAAACCACCTTATCTCTTCCACCATGTCATCATCGCACCGACAATCCACTCGTCGCTTCCCATTGGGATTCCTCTCTAGAGATGGCCCGGCAAACGATGTCATGCAACAGTCTCCTCAGTGTTTGCCCGATCCATCTGCATTTTCTCCTACATATTTGTTGAACTATCTGCTCTTGGTTGGTTTGTTCCCATATTTTCTTCTTACTAATTCTTTCTGATCATTTGATCTTCAGTATGGAGCGAAGACAGCTGTTGATGAAAGTTTGCCACGTTTTGGAAATCGTTTTCGTGACACGCAGTGCAAGTTTCTCACCCGTAATAGAAGGACTGACTTGACATTGGTGCTGATAATCCGAATCTTGTTCCTTATGTTGAGGCAGAGTGCAGAAGGTTTCCAAACTGGTTCCAGGTTGATTAGGGAGTATCTTGCCTTTCCAATTCTGGCTGGCTGACTGACTGACTTCGACATCTTCATGCGTTCTAATTGCCTGTGGTTGAAACTGTGCTTCCTAGGTAAGTGAAGGAGGTAATCTCTGTTAAATCTCTCCCGTCGACGGTGATTGGCGCTGGTTGTTGCTGTTGGTTAGTTGGTTGTTTACCTTAATCGCTTCCGTCTTCTCTATGTTCACTTGGAGTCCTGTCTTCAGCCAGTTTGTTGATTTTCGCTTGTAAGTCTTTGAGTCTGTGTGACATTAAACATAAATCATCTGCGAATTCCAGATTTTCTAGAGTCCCCTCACCAGTCCCGCTTATTCCTGTCTTCTCGCTCCCTGAGCACAGTCTGACGCAAAATCCAGTCCATCACAACTAAGAATATCATTGGTGACAATAGGCAGTCAGCTTCTCTTACTCCTGTTCCGAGCTTATTAACTACTAGTAAATTAGGCAAGGTTTCCAAGTGTGTCGACCAAGAATCGAAGCCGGATCTCTCGTGTGGCTGCCGAGTGTTCTAAAATTGAACCACCAATGCTTGAGATGTGAGAGGCAATGAGATTTTATTGATCAGATACTCTCACTCACCTCGTCACTACCCCCACACAATGGTAACAAAACCTCAGCTACTCAAATTAACTATGAAGTAATTAATTTCTGTGAATTACAATAACAATAACAATTTTCATGTCTCTTCTTTTGAAAAACTAATTCATTTCCCTATCCCTTTGTTATCATCTCATCAGAGAATTGATTTCCCGACTTCGTGATTGGAGGTTTATTCATTCGCTCTTCTTTGAGCAGCCGTCTCAAACAAAGGAAAACACACACACACACGTACATGCAGATACACATACAAAGCTGATGATCGATTCTCCTACTGTCAGTCATATGATTGAGATTAAAATGAAAATAAAAATTGAAAGTCTAATAACTCACACACGCCTGATAACTGATATATGCTGAAATAATGGACACGACTGTTTTGTACACTGGGCACAACGTTATTCATGATACCTGGCTATACACAATTGGCCATGTTAGGAAAAAAGGAACAACCCAGGGGAATGTGTAGTGCCCACACCAAAGACCTTGAAATGCACAAGCAGAGAGAGTTGGTGAGTGTAAAAACAGGTAAAAGACACTATATTCACAGAAAATCGGTGAAGGAGGTGGAGAATATCAAACGGGATATCTAGTCAGTCCAGTGTTAGGTTAACGAAAGACTAAGGTTGGGTTAGGGAGAGACAACAGACAGAATTAAGTACAGAATAGGTTAGAGTTAGTTTATAGGAAGATTAGGGTTGTGATTGAGCTAGAGACTCAAATTCGCCTTTAGAAGAGTCAGTGGTGCGCGTACGTTCTCTCGAGATCGCTATTCCTTAACTTTGGTGTACAGTCTTATGTGATTGGCAATAGGTTTGGAGGCTAATCATCATCACCAATACATACTTTGATGCAATCATAGGTGAAGAAACCTCTAAGTCGATGTATAACATGAGTGACTGAATGATTTAGCTGTTTTAAACAC